AATGGAAAGAATAACTCACATATAATTTTTTTTAGTTAGAATTATTCATATATATACCTAAAAAATTGCTTACAACTAAGAATATATCAAAGAACTAACAAATCTAGGTGAATTTTGATACACAATTTCAAATATAAAGAATTCAACATTTTATAAATTAATCATGATTTTGTGTACATCATACAGATTTTACTCTAATCGCAACAATGTATTTTATATAAACAATAACACTTTTTCTTGAATCTACTAACATGAAGATATATTCATGAAGATTGCAATCTCATATAATCACTCATTTATTCATTATGCTAACAAATGATGTATAATCTAGCATTTTATATGATAAATTGCCTCAAGACTGAGAACAAATAACACAACAATCTCTATATTCATCCAATTGACACAAATTTCATGAATGGGTATGAAGAAAATAGTGGACAAACATATAGATTAGTAAACACGTAAAAGCAGCAAATAGATTGTTCATTTTTCTTACAAATAGCACTAATAAAACAAGGAGAAGTTACTTGATAAAAACTTATATTGATCCCTCAATCATCAAATTTTGATATCATTAAGACATTCAAATATCCAATAAATGGTTCACAATTGAGGGATTCAAGCTCGGTCGTCCATTCAAACCACTCTCAATTCACCCTTGATCTTTTTTTATTTACTGGTCATGCCACTCTCAGAAAATTATAAATAGGCCCCTCATTCTTCATTGAGGGGGGAGAAAGCCCCTCATTCTTCACAAGACAATAGTTTTTCTAACTACTGTCGTCTGTCGAATACGGTCCTTCTGACATGTATTGCCAGACAACAACCTTTATGGCCACTTTCACTCACCGACTATGGTTCTTCCGACCTCCATAGCTAGATTGTGATCCTTCCGACCTTCATTGTCAAACAACGGTCTTTTCTAACAACTATCACCCGCTGACTACAATCTCTCCGACCACCGTCACCAGACTACGGTCTTTCCGACCTCCGTCGCCACCGACTATGATTTTATCGACCAAACAGATGTATAAATTGTGATTCTTTCAAGTCACATCATATAACTCACTCTTAATGATGTATATTTATTACATCAAGCTAAGGCCTTCCCCCAATGAAAGGCCTCATTTGTACTCGACTAAACTTCAATAATTTTTGAAGTTTCCCTCATAAAATCAGTAAAAAAAGAAAACACTATGAAACATTTATAGGTGTAATTGCATATAAAAATCTGTATCAATTTCTCAACAATGAGGAATGAATCCAAAATCTGGAGTATTTAGATGATAAAAATCTGTACAAAATCCTAAAAAAAATAGTGAGAAATCATCCAAAATCTGTAGAGATTTTCACACAAAAATAGTGAGATATCTTGTTTAATCCAAGAGTATTTACATGATAAAAATCTGTACATGCTCCTCACAAAAAAAAATGAGAAAACTTGTTTAATCCTAGAGTAATTACATGATAAAAATCTGTACAAACTCCTCACAAAAAACAGTGAGAAAACTTATTTAATCCTAGAGTAATTACATGATAAAAAATCTGTACAAACTCCTAAAAAAAATGTGAGAAAACTTGTTTAATCCTAGAGTAATTACATGATAAAAATCTTTATAAACTCCTCACAAAAAACAGTGAGAAAACTTGTTTATTTCTAGAGTAATTACAAGATAAAAATCTATACAAAATCCTCACAAAAAAAGTAAGAAATTTTAATTAAACAATGTACTAATCTTCCTAAACTATATAGAAGAAATTATGTTCTTACATTGCCAAAATATACAAGTCTCTTCCCCTTGTTTTGCCAAAGATTTACAGCAAACCCTTCATCTATTGCTGGCTGAAATCTACTATAGGAGATGGCCAAAATCTACTATAGGGGGTTGGCCGAAATGTTGTTGTACAAGAAGAGTGGTGGCCGGAATATTTGGATAAAATCTCCTCTCTTGAACATAGTACCCAACCAGCAGCTCTCTACCTTAATCGAAATCTGCTGCAACTTGCTCGGTCGGCTTTAGCAAGAGCAAGGAGAAATTTATCTTGAGAGGGAATAGGGGTCTCGCGACGGAGCCTGTGGGTGTGTGAGCTGCTTGGAGACATCAGCAGGAGGATGGACCGTGAGGTATATGGCTCCAGGAGACATCTTGGCCGGCCCTAGCTTTTGTGCATTTCCAAAAAGGAGATGGCGGCTGCTTGTGAGAATGGATCGATCGTGGAATGCAAGCTAGATTGGAGAAGAAGAACATTATTACAAAAGCCAAATTAATTATATAACATTTCAATTTAAATTAGTATAGCAAATTTGAATTCATCAAAGCTAATTTGACTTAAAAGGAATTAAAAGGTTAATTTCCACTTGAGTCGAAGAGAGGTCGATTGCAAGCTAGATTGTAGGCTCGGATGATTGTAGCACAAGATGACCTCATATAAAAATAAGTCCAACACGAATTAATGAACCAGGGATCCAAAGCAGAGAGAGGGGAAATTTTAGCTTCAAGAATGCAAAGCATGTCAAGATGGTGAGAAGAGGTCAATTTTTTACAGGCTAGAACATTTTCAGTGCTGTTGAAACCTCAAACATTCCAATATCTAATAGATGGGAGGATCATTTATACTTGGAGGAAGATGAGTGCGCCTTCTTAGCACCTTTGGCTCTAGAGGACTTTGTAGACTGGGATTTCAGGGTTTTGGATTGATCAAGAGGATCATTTAGTTGGGTAAGTTCAACATTTGAGGAGCTTTCAGATTTATTCTGAGGATCAGGAGGATCATCATGTCGTAAGAAGTCAAATTTTTAAGGAGAAGTGGTAATACTGGAGGAAGGCCGAGCCTAATCAGAGGAAGGGGAAACATTTATGTTAGTGTCTGGTAGAACAATGTATTCCGCATGTGGCTGTTCTATGGAAGGAGAGGGATCAGATGATGAGGAGGCTTTGGTTGGGGAATTCAGGTTAATTAGGAATAACATCCTTAGATTTGTTGTTAACCAAATGAACATGGTGAGGAACTATGGGAAGAACAACAGGTGATTGCACGGGAATAGTAGTATCCATACCCAGCAAAATTCCACCTGGGTTGAGTGTAACATCATCTTCATAGCCGGTACATGGAGTCAGCTTCCAGCCGTAAATGACTTTGAGTGAAACATCATCTCCATCGAAAGAAATGGAGATTTCGTCCGACCGCGAGGAGGCACTTGTTACCAAAACACATACTCTAGCAAACGTGAGGCGAGTTTTTCGGGTAGTGAGGGCATCCACCGTAAGGGGGTGACCAACATTGCTAGCGATTTTAGAAATACCCATAGGGTTCCAGATATCTAAAGGAAGATCCACAATTTTTATCTAAATAGGAATGGAACTAAATTATTCTCATTTAGGTTTGAATTTATGGGTCCATTTCTACAACGGTCTTCTGAAGAAGAACCAGGGACCTCCTGACCAAGCAACTTCAAAATCCTATGGAGATGAGAATTTAAAGAGGAAAAAATTGTCATTAAGAGATAAAAGATCAATCGAACCTTTAGGTGACCAAGCTTTCTTGATCACATTTGAGAGACTCAGGTATGTGGGTTTGGGGCCAACCGAATAGCCGACAAGGGAGAAGCTCCAATCAGGAACACCTTGCGCTAATTCATTCTCCGAGAAGGGGATCTTAGTGGGCGGTGAGATGAAAGAGAGGGAGAACTCATTGGAAACAGGGTCTTTATTCGTGAGATTGGAGATAAAATTAAGGCCAGATGGATGAGAGGGGAAGGGGGCAGCAGCTCCAGGAATAAGGGGAAAATTCGAAAGATGGGTGGAAGGATTCATTAAGTGGGAGGCAGTTGTGGGGAGGGGAAGCCCCTCCCCAGATAGGCGACGCAACGAAGGAACACGAGAGAAAGAGCTAGAGTAGCAAACCCTAGCAGAGCGTAGCAAGTAGTTTAGGAGCTTCAATGCCCTTTCCAGAAATTGTTCCAAAGGTTTTATAACTCAATAATTGTGTCAATGAATATTTATGATTCTCACCCCCAATAAAATTATGAGGATTATAATATACATATGATGAATGATAATTGAGAGAAGAAAATAATTTTTATGTTATTAATTTTGCTAATTTTTTATTTTATATAAGAAAGTACCTGAGAATTAATAGTATGATATGAAATCCTGAGAAAGCATGTATATGTAATAAAATAAATATCTTCTTACTATAAAATATATCAAGATATCAAGGCATAGATTTTTTCCCTCCGATAGGTATATGATATTTATGAGTTATTTTTCAAAGAAAATTTGAGATTTTATTATATCTATTTATAGCTCTCTAATTTTTCTTTATAAAAAAAGTATGATTAATTCTTTACGTTGTATTAGAAAAATAATTCTTCATGTGTAATGACGATAACTATTACAACCATCAATTTGGTGAACAAACAT